TTAGTGGGTTAGGGTCAGGGGTACAATCAGGGTTAGTGGGTTAGGGTTGGGGTAGAATCAGGGTTAGTGGGTTAGGATGGTGGCTGGGTTTAGGACGAGTAGTTAAAGCTGGTGCTGGACTAAGGTAACAGTTGGGGTAGGGCTCAGATTGGGGTTAGAGTTAAGATGAACATTAGGACGGGGGGCAGAGCCCCTATGCTGTCGAGGGAGGGGCCTCACCATTCTCTGTCTGCAGTTTGGCTCTCTGGGTGCTGGTGTCATTCAGTGCTCGCTGTGTCTCCTCCAGTTTGGCCCGGTGCTCGGCCGTATGGTCCTCCGGCGTGCGGGAGAGCTTCTCCAGGCTGACCTGGGCGGGGAGGGGGAGACGTGGGGGAATGAATGAACAAAGAATGGACCAACCCCCCCCCCCCCCGCCCCCCAAAGAGCAACCGAAAAAGAAAATGAAGCGAGTAAGGAATGCATGAAAATAACCCCTAAAAACTGAAAGAATGCAAGGCTGAAAAAGAATGAATGGAAAAAGAATGAGAGAGTGAAAGTAAAAAGAAGGAATGAAAGAACTAAAGAAAAAAGAAAGAGAAAAAAACAAAAGAATTAAAGAAAGAAATGAAAGAAGGAAAAAAAGTGAAAGGAAAAAACCCAAAGGAATTAAAGAGTGAGGGAAATGGAACAAAGGAATAGAAGAAAGGAAGGAGAAAATGCAAGAATGAAGAAACAATAGTTGAAATGAAAAATAACAAAAGAGTGACAGAAAGAAAGAAAAAAGAAAGGAATGAAACAACAAAAGAATGAAAAAGAAGGTGAAATGAATGAAAGAAAAAGAACTGAAGAACAAAAGAAAAAAGAAAAAGAAAAATGAACTAAAGACAGAAATGAAACCAAATCAAATAAAAAATTCAACAAATGAGAAAACGAAAGGAAAGCAAGGAAGAAAAAATGCTCCAAGCCTGGCCTTTTCCACCAGCCCTGGCCCCTCCCCCTCCATCGGCCTGCCCCCGGGGCACCTTGGCTTTGAGCAGCTGCTCCAAGTTGGAGCTGATGTCGTCCAGCTCCAGCTTGAGCTCGCTCTTCTCCTTCTCCAGCTTCTGCTTGACGCGCTGCAGGTTGTCGATCTGCTCGCCCAGCTCGGCCACCGAGTCGGCGTGTTTCTTGCGCAGGGTGGCGGCCGTGGCCTCGTGCTGCAGCGTGGCCTCCTCCAGGTCCCGCCGCATCTTCTGGAACTCCGCCTCCCGCTTCTTGTTCATCTCGATCTGCACCGAGGTGGCGCCGCCCGCCTCCTCCAGCCGCTCGCTGATCTCCTCCAGCTCCCGCGACAGGTCCGAGCGCAGCTTCTCCACCTTGGCCCGGGCCGTGCGCTCTGCCTCCAGCTCCTCCTCCAGCTCCTCGATGCGCGCCTGCAGCCGGAGAGAGACCCACGGGCTTAGACAGGCCTAGAACATCTCATATGCTAGAGCAGACAGGAACACGTGGGTATGGGTGTAAAGTTATACAATGTCCTAATCCGCATCTAGAACACCATGGTCTAGCTCAGATTAAAAATCTGGCTTCTAGAAACAGAAGGACACAGGGTTCCTGTTCAATCTAGAGAGAGCAAAATAAAATGGTTTCCTCAGATCAATCTTGAATTCCTAGTGTTCTACACCAGAAAGGGGAATCTGGGTTCCAAAGCATAGGAGCATGAACCTAGAATTGGAGTTCTATAGCTAGTTCTAGAGTGATGTCAAAAGTACCCCATGCAGGCAGAGACCCTGTGGTTCTAGAGTGGAATAGAGGAAAATGATAGAAACAAGACACAGTATTTTGTTTTAGAGATGCACAAACACGAGGTTCCAGAAGGTATATTTCCTTTCGGCTCTGGACTGGTGCTAAAATGGCCGTCTAGAACCCAAGCTCTCACTTATGCTAGAGCGGCACCAAAAGGGACAGTCTCTTGTCCGGGTATTGAGGTAGTCTCCTAGAACAAAAATGATGCAGCTCATTCCAGAGCAGCTTCTCTAGTTCTGGAAGGGAAGTGAGGGGCATTCTAGAGCAAGAGAAAGGCACCCACCTGCAGCTCCTTCAGCTTCTTCTGGAGCTGCAGGCCCTGGGCTTGCTCATCCTCTATCTTGCTGTTCTGCTGGTTGATGTCAAACTCCTTCCTGCAAAGAGATTTAGAGAGATTAATCCCCCTCTGTGCTCCAGAGCACATTGGATTGTGCAAAGAACAACCCTCTTACTTTTTCAGTTTCTCCTCCAGCTGCTGCTTGTCATTCTCCAGGTCCATGATGTTCTCCTGGGTCAGTTTCAAGTCCCCTTCCAGCTTCCTCTTGGCTCGCTCCAGGTCCATCCGGATCTTCTTCTCCTGCTCCAGGGAGCCCTCCAACTGAGAGAGAAAAAGGTGTGTTATTGGTAAAACTTTCATCTCCCGGGCATTCCCAAACTGAGCCTGGAGGACATTCAACCCAACCCAACCAAGCTTGAGGACACCCAGCCCAACCATTCGATCCAACCCCCAGCGCTGTGCTGAGACACTGTGGTCAGCACTGACTGTGCATGGAGAGTAACCCCTACTGAGTCCCCCGACCCTGCTCCCTGCAGCTAAGTGCCTCCTTCGGGTCCAGGATATACGCACATCATCTGCCTGCTGCTCCAGCTTGAGTTTGGCTTTGGTCAGAGTGTTGACCTTGTCCTCCTCCACCTGCAGGTCATCCAGTGCTTGCTGATGAGCTTCCTGCAGAGACTTCTTCTCCTTGGTCAGTTTAGCTATTATCTCATCCAGCCCGGCCATCTCTTCTGTCAGGTTCTTCACCTGGTGGAGAAGGAATCTGGGATGTGAGGATTCTGGGATTAACGGGCCTGGACCCAAATGCGATACCTCACCTTTTTCTCAACCCAATTGACCTTGTGCGAACTCAGCCCAACTCAACCAGCCTTGAGGTCGCTCAAACCAACTCGACCCAACCAGCCTGGAGGACAGTCAACCCAACCCAGCTCAACTGAAACAGCTTTGAAAACATTCAACCCAGCCAGTCTGGAGGATACTCTGCCCAGCACAACCAGCCTTGAGGGCATTAAACTCAACCCAACCAACCTTGAGGACATGCAACTCAGCCTCACCCAATCAGTCTTGAGGAGACTCAACCCAACCCAAATAGCCTTGAAGCCACTCATCCCTTCTATGTCTTCACCTTGTTCTCCGTCGCGTGTTTCTCCTTCTCCACCTTGGCCAGGGTCAGCTCCAGGTCGTCAATGTCCTTCTTGAGCTCCGAGCACTCGTCCTCCAGCTTCCTCTTCTTGGCCGTCAGCTCAGCATTCATCTCCTCCTCGTCCTCCAGCCGCTCCGTCTGCTCCTTCACCTTGGCCTCCAGCTGGATCTTGTTCTTGATCAACTGGTCGCAGCGCTCCTCAGCATCATTCAGGTTGTCCTGCTCCTGTGAGTGGAAGTGGAGGATGGGGGAAAGAAAGAAAGAAAGAAAGAAAGAAAGAAAGAAAGAAAGAAAGAA